CTGTTCTACATAAATATTTAGATACTAAAAGTCAAAATGATAGGGCTGACCTTCTGCAGTGCCAGAAGGAATGCTGAGCATCAGCAAATTAACTGCTCCAAGGGGAATAATGATAGTAAAAACTGCATTTAGGTAGAGGTCTGTTACGGAACTGTGTAATGGGTTCCACGGTCTTTACTCTCCGCTGTTTTTCATGCTACAAAGGACAAGAAGTAATATATACATCCACCTGGGAAAAGATCTGAATACACTCAGAAGCAGCGTCATTTAAGTCATGAAGGCTTCCAAGGGCAGCAGTAATAATAACTGAACACTATATGCATATACAACTGCAGGGCATTCCCTATCAATTTAAAACACTTTGAGAGGCCACTGCAGGAGCACTGGGACTATGCCCAAAACAGCATTTGGTGCTTACAGTGTGCGATTACTTTTATTTTTTTTTCTTCATAAGATGACTCTAGGCATTTAACTTGGTTAGCAAAAACAATAAATTTGTTAAAATCGAGGAGTAGTTGACTGCTGAAACAGTAACTGATGTTTATGTTTCTACTTTACGTTACTATCCCCTATCTTCATTATTTAGTTCAGACTTCATCAAGCGAAAGTTCAGCTCCAACAATAGCAACAAAATTCTTTCCCTTCCTCTAAGCACATGCATATTTATGTGAAAGCTATTCAGGTTAGGAAGTTCACTTTAAAGTTCACTTCAGGTTTTCTTTAAGTGATTGTTTTATACCTATTTGTTCTACCGTCAACATATTCTCTCACCTTGTGATCCTTTCCCTGCATGTTTGTAGAATAATCATAAAGGAAAAAAAAAATAATATTAAAAAAAATAAACACACCAAGCTCTCAAAGGGAGGAAAAAAATCAAAACAACAAAATACCCACATACCATACCCACACACAGACAAAAACAACCACCCCACACTATTTATTTTCAGAGCATCTTCTTTTTGTGCTGGCTGTGTAGATACCCACAAAGCATCATAGGGAATGAGAAGAGGGAGTTACATACAAGAACTATTTCAAGTTGAGTGTTATTAGCACTCTTGCATTGTTGAACTCTTCTTGCTGATAAGACAAAAAATCTAAAAGCAAACCTTTTGACATACACAGTAATACCCTGCATCCCTACTCTCCTCCATGTCAGATATTATCATAACAATCTAGTAACACATTTCAACTTTAATCAGCAAGTTTAAAAAAAAAGTGATTAAGAATTACTTTACTAAATATATACACTTTTCCTCCTCTTGCATCCATTACAAAGAAACATCTAACGTGGCTCTTTTATTCAAAAGTAACGACTGCACTGTTACTACAACAGACCTTCTACAGTAGATCAGACCCTCTTTAATACCACAGCAGACACCACCTTGTTTTCCACCTGAAAACAATTTGCCCCATTAGCATTTTCTCAGGTAAGGACAAACATTTAGGGGAAAGCAAAAGCAAACAACAAAAGGTACCCAGCTCAGTAAGGATGAATTTTATTGAAGTGATGGCCACATGGAAAGGACACCACTGCTTTGAAAATCACGCTTCCATTGCAAACAGTTTGATACAGTCAGACTAGTAATTCTGAAATTACTGCAACAAATACATGTTTTTACCTCTTTATGCATGTGGTGTCCCAGATGGTGGGCGGTAACTGCTCCTTGCAAGGTTCTGAAGGGAGGCATTTTCATGGTAGGGCCATGCAGTGAGGTTGAGGCTGCCCTGAGAGCCTCTTAGAGCATCCTTACAGACACAAGAGTTCCTAAAGATCCCTCTACAATTTAAGGATACTCTGGTTGTTATCAAAGCAAAAGGATGGAGGGAGATAGGGAAAGGAAGAATAAAATTTAGAACATAATTTCACCACATAGTCTCTCAATCGCGCTTTGAGAAAAGCAGCATTTTTCTCTTTCTCTCCCTCCTCCCACCCCCACGTAGAGCTTCCAATAGAGGTTCCCTTTGGGCGCTCCCTGAACACCCAACCCAGCCAGCCACATCTACCACCTGCAGCCTTACGTGTTCTCGTCCTCCTGCTCTGCTTTTGGAGGGGATTTGCCTTGCACGGGCGGCCATCCCTTCTGCGGAAAGGACGGACCCAGCCGGCAGGCACAGGTACTGCTGCCAACCCAGAACACGTAGTTAAAACACAGCCACAGGGCACACGCGGGCCTGGAACTCAGAAGCCCTTCCAGTTTGGGTTATTCACTTGTTTTCTGTATATATCTACACTGTGACAACAGCTAGAGTCACTCTTTCATTAATTTATTTATTTTAAATGGCTGTAGTCTCCTGAGGTTTGGGCAAAGGCAGGCTGACGGAAGGGCAAAATTTGGTGCTAAGCTTTTAAACTCTTTGGGCAGGGGGACATTTTCTGAGAAACATCCTAACAGCTATGGCAGTGTAGAAACAAACAAAGCCCAGAATCGTAGAACCAGAAAGCCAAGTCACACTGCTCTTCCAAGAAAGAGCACCACAATATGACCAGGGGCATCCGTACTAGTTATAATTTAAGATTTTTTTGACAACAAATCACAGCTAGAGTGCTATACATTACAAATGCAAATATATGAAATATAAAGTGTTTACCAGGCAAAATAGTTCTGCTTCCAATCAACATTCTTCTATGCCATATATTGCAAGTGCATTTTAAACCTTGCTATATTTGCTTTCTTCAGACAGCAGCCACAAAGGCAAGTTCTGGCAATCTCAGCTATAGAATAGTTTAATAGCAGTTATTAAAATATTTTTACACTAATCTTTCAAGACCTTAAACCTCCATAGTAAAAAAATATAGCAATGCAAGAAGTGTCCATTACCTTCAGAAGTACAATACTCAACTTTTACTAAAATCAGTGAGCATGCAACTTCAATCTGAAAAAAGCAACTAGCATTTAATACAGCCAGGGATATATGCTACTTACATATATTTATTCACAGTTTGAAAAAATTAAAAAAATCTACAGCTCTGAAATACATACATTTTAAAAGTTGTCACAGCTGCTTAAAAATAGTTGAGCAGAGGTTGTGCAGAAGAAAAGCATCAGGTCAGCAGCAAACTGAATTTGGAAACAAATGCTGTACCATTTCACCCACGTGCTTCCACTGTTAAAACCACAGCAGCAGAATTACTTGCACTTTTTTTTTTTTTAAACATACTTGAAATCCCTCTCCCTTAGTTCTGGTCTGGCATACTTTTAAATGACATTAATGGAATCCAGATGCAAATTAGAAGGGTTTGGAATTAATTATCTGAGACCTACAGCAAGTCATGAAGATGGAAGATATGGCTACGGTTTCAAAAGCAAGGGAAAAAAGGCCGGAATGAAGTCTCATGTTTGCTATCTACATTTCCATGTTGCAGACACCAAAAAGACTCATCCCTGCGCTCCCAAATGTCAGTTCTGTGAGCTGAAAGTCCACACCAGGTGTTTCCAGTTAAAGCACATGGTGGGGAGGGAAGGTGCTTAAAAATGGGAGAAAATAATTAAAATATCTATGTCCTTTGGCTCTGTCAAATGATTGCTGAAACATATATATATAAGAAAAAAAGACACCAAAAAACACAGTTACTGAACAGTTTATTCTCAAAGTGAGCTAAGGGAGCTAACTCCTTCTACTCTTATGTCCAGATTGATCTCAGTCCTGAATAAGGCAGTATTTAAGTAGTGAGCATGATTCCTCAGAGCTTAAGATGGATATAAGAACACCATTTAGTAAAAGTATGCATTCCAAGGAATGATTTAACACTATAAAAACATCACAGAGGAAATGAAAATAAAGAAGTGAATAAGAAAATTAAAACATTCCAGTTGGGATATGAGCAGGATGTATAAACAGGTTTATACATTTTACTAGTACACAAATAAATTAAGACAGTGAAAGGCAACATAGGCTAGAAAAGGAAAAAGAAGATGACTGAAACAATTTTTAAAAGTGCTGTGTTCATAATAAAAACAATAACATGGCAGCAATGTATTTTTCATGAAAAAAACAAAAAAAAGAAACAAGAAAAGAAAACACACCCTATTCTGCTGAAGAACATGGAACAGAGCCTAACACACCCGTGCAGAAGAGCTGTGCAAATGACATGTGTGCAAACATGGAAAGCGAGAGAGAAGGATGTGACTTCTTAATCATGCACTTACTGGCAAATGCTCTTTCCCTTCTCTTTCAAGTTATTCTCAGGAAGCTGGCCTTTGTATTGAGAATCTTCCCTTGGTGTCTCTGTATGAGTAGTCTTTTCACTGAAGCACAGGCATCACACTAAAGAATGACGCTGCACTTTCCCCTGTTTTTAAGCACAAACTTCCAATCTCAGGCTTAATAGTCATAGCTAGTCATTCTTTTGTGAAGTTACAGCTCACTTACTACCTCTGATTCTTACCCCAGGACTTCCACAGATGTCATTAAAAGTTTTATGCAGGTTTTATGCAGCTGCAACATTTTGTAGACCCTTGCCTTCCTATTATCAATCTACCTTTACCACAAAAAAATATAACCAAGACTATATTTTTAGTCAAGTCAAAACAGAAAAATACCATTTCTGTTTTGAAGTGATCTTATGTTTTCAAAGTGTCACTACAGAGAGGAATTACCTTGATTTTTAGCTTCTTCAACATGCAGAGAATAGCATGAACCACACAGAGCAACAAGCTGAAGGAAAATGTGAAAGAAACTGTAAACACTTCAAAATGCTTTTAAGTCCAGTTATTCCAGTTACTGCTTTATGTTTTTAACCAGTACCACATGACCTGTCACAAGTTTGTCAAACTCTGTTTCCAAGTAATTTACAATCACTTTGTCACTTCTCATTATGTTTCTGGCCATTAGCTTTTTTAACATTTACAAGAGAACTAAGTAGCTTACTGCTGTCAGGATGTGAAATAGGAGTCTTTCAGAAGTACTGAGGACTTCTTTCTTCGACCAGCCTCCAAAGCTCAAATTAATACATGGACACAAAAATATATTGGTCAGCACTAGAATACCTATGGGTTACTTCTCTACATTAAGATTCCTCTTTGTGCAACTGTGGGACATATTTAAGACTGGGTGTTTCTACTGTCTCATCGAAGTCCTGACCAGCTGTGGAGGTACGAAGTCCACCCAGAAGGTCGTGTGGTACTTTCTTCCTCACCTGAAAAAGAAACACACACTTTATTACACCAGATATTGAATCACTTGGTTAAGTGATCTTGTCATTTTCCAAATGCTAATCTTGTTATCTTGTCATCAAGTTTACAACACTCAGTACTTGCCCTCGAGTTGCCAGTCATGTACATGCATTTTACCATGACTTACACTTTACTCTGCATACCTGAAAAGGCTTCTGAAAAATTCCTTACCAGCTTTCCCCAGAAAAATTCAGTCAGTGCTTACTAACAGCACCAGAACAAACATTCTGATTTTATGGATTTAATTTACCTCTTAGCTTTCCATATGCAAACTCTTTCATGTAAGGCATTAGTGCTTAAAAGTAAAGCAATAACTAGTGAAAAAATATCCCACATGAGTAAGAATTGTAATACTGCATTTATACTTTATATATTTTTTAAAAATTAAAATAAAGGTCAGCTGCTAACAAAGGACAAGCTGGCTACTTACTATTGAGAAAATAGAGAATCATAAAAAGTTTAAGAGGAAAATAGTCCATCTGAGAAGGAGTCAGAACACTATTATTCAATCAGCTCCTTGGGTTAATTTCTTGCAGAGGCTTAACTTCTTATTTTCTAAGTCCCTATAGTCATTAAACTGAAGCATGTTCTGTGGAAATGACTTTCAAAGCTAACATACTGATACTACATTAATATAACATCTGCAATATGGCTTTGCGAGGACCACTTAGTATCTTTACAGAACATCTGCCAAACAAAAAAAAATCTACAGAAACCTCTATTTTCATGCGACAAAAGTTCATAATTCTATCAAAACATGAACCCATGAAATTTTTACAACTTGCCGTAGTTCTACTAAAAACAATCATAAACCTCTTGTAAAAGGTCAAGGAAGAGGCATAACTGTTTTAGAAGAAGTTATACTTCACGTTAGCTTTATTTATACCTTGGGGGTATTTGATCTGTTTTATGAGAATATGAATACTAACTCTCTGGTTCATTGCTAACTCATGGGCGCTATGAAAAAATAAAGTGAAACAGCACAAAGGTCTACACAAATTAAAGCACTAAAGTGCAGTTGTTTCCCTCCGCCCACATTGATTTCTGTTGTTTTAGGCCAACATTGTGAAGGGGACGTACCTTGGGCAATTGCAACTAGCTTCCCTTTCTCTTCTGGGCTGAGCTGCAGCATGGTATCTATCACCGGAAGAAGCCTCTCTCTCTCACTTCCCGATTTTAGAAATATAAACTGCAATAGAACATTCTTCAAGTATTCTAGGTTAGCCACGGACTTTTCTCTTTCTTGATTTCTTTCCAATCTTCTTATTTCATTCTTAAGAAGCTGCAGATGAAGAAAGAACATGCAGTATTTGTTATTTCACATAATGGATAATGGAACAAAGGCCTATTAAAGAACAGAGCAAGTTGTACAGCTTATTTCTGAAAGAGTAACATAAGCACAGCACTCTACACAAGAGAAAAGTCCAATGAAACCTGAAGAGGTGATAATATCCAGAAAAAAAAATATTGCTCTAAAACCAAATAGTTAATATTGTATCTCTTTAGAAGAATAGCTTACTTTAGTGATCAGGATTAAGAGTTGAATAAGTAACATGTATCAAAGGTTTAACAAAATTATCATTATGAAGCTTTCATATGAAAAGTTTAAGAGACAAACAAACAAACAAACAAACAACAACAACAAAAAAAAACTTAGCATGTTTAGCTAATAGGTTGCTTCAAAAACATTTCCAGAAAGCTCAGAGAGGCTTTGGAGTTTGAGGTAATACCAAACTATTAGTAACTGTGTATCTTCAAACATCTTTTAACTTAGCACAGTTAAAAGGAGTTACAGAAAGAGAAACATAACTTGTAACATAGCATTTTTGGTGGAGTGAAAACAGCAAAAAATTTATTAGATGTTAAAATCCTATTCTGGGGGTTTTGATGGCAGTTTTTAAACAACCATCTGATTCACCCCAAAGCCTTTAGAAACTACAGAAATAAGTCAATACAATAAAAATAAATGCAGACTTTGGAAGTACTAATTCATTCTGCAGAATAAAGCATGGATATTCCCCCCAACATCCAAAGCCAGCGTCCTCCCCTTGGCCCCCCTCCCCAAATTTTAATACTGGGTTTTTCTGAAGGGTATTTGTTATTAAACATTTTGTCTTTGACAGAGACTGCAGAAGTCAGAGCTGTTCCCAATTTCCAGTATGTCTGCTAACCTTGATTTGTTCCATTAAGATTGCATTGGTCGCTTCTGATTCACGAAGTAATTCATTCAAGTGATCAGCACTCTTGGCTGTGGTGTTTAGCTTCTGAATCAGCTCATCCTTGGTCAGTTCTGTCTGCCACTGAGATGGTTCTGCAATTAATTGGAAAAGAAATCTCAGAAAAGGACAAGCCACTTGCATTTATTTTATGATACTTAATTAACTTTAGGATTCATTAGTGTAGTTTTAGGTCTATGCAAGAAATGAAATCCATGCAAAGTCAGACTTCAAAATTAGCAGCTGTCATTGCTGCTGCTGCACACACAGTGTATCTACTTCTGTTCAGAAGCAGGGTCAGTGAATCTAAGTAAGCCAGGATACATAGCTTTGTTTAAACTCTTGGTTCTAACCCATAGATGGGAACTTTCAATATTTATCCAGAAGCTTTCAATAGACTTTTTAAACCTGATTCTATGCTACCATATGGTAGCATAGCTTCTGGGTAAATATTGAAAGTTCCCATCTATGAGTTAGAATGGATTAGTCCCCCTACTTTGGGGGACTCTTGAGATACCACTTTTCATGCTGGTTTTCATTTTTCTAAAAAAACCTTATCAATGAATACCCATTTGAATTAGCCATTTTAAGACAAGCAGACATTATATACTTTCATTAAATGAATTAGATTAACATGTAATTGTCTCAAGTAGAGGATAATCCAGAATGCTTCAAGTCCTTCAGCTATTTGCTGACTTGCCGACTCATCTGTTCTTTTCTCCTTAGGAAGGGTATATATATAAAACCATAAAGTCCAATAGCAACATTTTATTGTTAGCCCTCACTCAGGGACAAGCTCATATTGAAATTCAGGACTCTGTACTCAGTGGCATAGAACACATTGGCGTGTTGCATCTAAAAGCATGAGATCATAATTTTCTCAGGTATTTTAGGGTACAGATTTCTGCAACTTATACAGACAAGTGCTTTAAAAAAGCCACAGGTTCCACTAACCGTGTTTTGCTTCCGGGGAGTTCAGAAGTTGTTCTAAGGATGGTACGTGGGTGCTGGCAGAAGAGACAGACTCTGTGTCCGTTGTTTCCATGCCTTCTCCCTCTTCCCTAGCCACAGTGTGCATATCAAGAACAGGAAGGTCGGTGTTTCGCCGTTCCTTCAAGTTCTTCGTTGCTGGATGTGAAACAGCTGGACCTGAAAGATACCCAGTCATGTCTCAACAGAAGGACAGACGGCAAACTACTTCACAGCTGCGACTGCCTTATAGAGGTGTATAAAATGCAGTCTTTTAAAAAGGCAGGGGAACAAAAGGTGAAGACTCTGGAGAAGAGATGCACACCCACCATTTACAATAAAAATATTTTTTTTCACATCCATTAGCCGCTTAAATCGAAGCATTTTTCTAGATCTACAGTTGATTAGCACCAAGTGCTCATCATGCAAAAGAAGAATTAACCTCTCTGAACCAGTCCTGCAGGTGGTGTAAATAGCTTGTTTCATTACTCTGCATGTTCTCCTGCTGCTTCGGTGCAATCACAGTTAGGGAACAGGAATACACAGAATGAGTAATTTTTGAACTGCTACTGCTGCTTGTTAGATAGTTGTTTGCTTATCTCCTAAACAGTAACTTTGAGTATGAAAGTATAAAAATAAACATATAAAAAGACATTAAGTAACATTTTTATGTACTAAACATTAAATATAAATATATATATATAGTAAAAGAATATAAAGATACGAGTAGGAAATATAAACAAGTATTTCATTTTGACACAGTAAAATAAAAAGTGAAAAGATTCAAATAGCAAGTGTGCCAATAAGAAACAATGTTAAAAGAACTAAAGTTCAATCAAACTTCATCAAGAATTTATCTCAAGTCCAGTGACCTTTCCAAAATCTGAGACAAACTAGAGCAGGACAGCATTACAACCTTTCTGATGATGCAGACACTGCAGGAAAGAGAAGCGATGCTGATTCTGAACTGATAGTAATAACAAAAACCCTTTCTTTACTTGGTATCAACAGATAGCAGGGAACTTTCAGACTGCCTCAGGTGCATACAGGTTGTACCTTTCCAAGAAAACCTGGGTGTATGACTGGGAGTTACCTTTAGTGCTTGGTTCACTCTTGAGCTGGAAGAACTGGGCTTCTACCCTGGACAGTTGTTGCTGAAGTGTCTCTACTGTCTTCCTGTGCTCTTCTTGCAGGTTCCTGACTTGATCTCTGAAATTGTTGCGCAGAGCTTCGTTCTGGGCTGTCAGCTGACTCAGACTCTGGGCATGCTCTGTTTTCATGACCATGCTCTCAGACTGTATTGTGCAGAGCCTGAAAATAGCACACACACACACAACACAAGAAACGACAAAGAACTTGCAGTGAATTTGACAGCTTTTGGAGTAGTAGTTTAAGTTTAAATGTTTCATTTACATAATTATGTAACTTTTTTTCTCATTTAAATTTATGTTTTCAAAAGGCAATCCTGAGACCGAAAAAAAAATATTTATTCCTATCACACGAATGCACTATGCTAAATAAATACTAGCTTTTCAGGACACAAAATGCAAAGATTACTAGAAAAAAAAAGAAATGTTAGTATTAGAAACACTCTGGCTTACACATTCTTAGAATCTGAAACTGCCTCAGGACTGTTTGTTGCAAACAAGCCCTCTGGAAATTCCTTTAACTTTCTCAACAGTTATACCCTTTCCTTGGGAAGCACAGTTCGAGGCCAGCTGCATGTCCAGGCCTTAGAAAGTTCCCACAAAACAAAATTTCTCTATCTATTCAAACAATCATACTTTTCCCGGAGCTCTGCCTCTTTTGCAACAGTCTCTTGCAGCATCTTATTGTGTCTTTCCAGCAGGGTGTCATGCTCAGACTGCAGTGCCTGGAGTTCAGCTGCATTGAGCTGTAAATTATGCTGAGTGTCCTGTAGCTTAACTTTAAGTTGATCTATCATCGTTTCGAAGTGTTCTCTATAAGGGGAAAAATGAAAAGAACAGACTTTAAGACGACAGTTATGTATTTCATAAGCTCCATTATATCCACAAAATTTTGAGTAGCTGTTCTAAACTAATCTGTTCTCCACCCCTCTCCATAAACAAACAAACAAAAATGGGGGCAGCAAAACCACAATAATCCTACAGTAATCCTAGAAAGACACGACTGGTTATAAAGCTCCGACTGAACTTGAGCAGAGCTGCAAATAGACCCATCAAGCCCAATCTGAATGGCTGGAGACACAACTGATAGGGTAGAGAATGTGGCTACTGTAACTTTTATTCACAGTAAGTTCATAAGAATAAAACAAGGAGAGTAATAGCTGGGGAAAAAAAATCTACTCTAAAGGGAGGGAAGTTTTTTTTTGTTTGTTTAATAAACATGTCTCTCTGTTGAGACTGAACACAGGAAAGAGGAGGTGGCTGGAGGAGGTTTTCAGCAAAGGAATATAAAGCAAACAATGGGCAAACACTGTAGCTCACAAACCAAATGGGACCTTTTCCTCCTTTTCTAACTCAGAAATGCTCTCACTCTATGCTTTCTGTATTCTTGCTGCAGTCATCTCTATCACTTCCTAAATAACATATCTAGTTAGCCTTTAGAGCTGATACCCAGAAATGGTTTCTTTGAAAATTGTTTACTTGTTTATTGCTTGATGCTTGATTATTCATCTATTTAGTTTCCAAAGTGACCCTCTTTTCCAACTTAACAATATCAGAAAATTCTTAAAATTGTCCCAAGAGGGGAGACAAAGAAATACAACTTTTGCAGATCACTGGCTTCAGAGAAAAGTTTTAGATGAAAAAATAACGCCCCCATCCACATCTAATTCCTCTAACAAAACACAAGTCTCCCTCTGGTGGCAGTTAGAGCTGTGTCTACACTAAACAATTCTCACTGCGAAATTTCAAAATGAGCTCCGTTGAAGAGTAGCAAACTCTTAAATGGAAATGGCTTTTTGCTGAAATACTTTGTCAGAGAAAATGACAGGTCAGTTTTACCCAGCAAACAACAATTAACTGTGCTCATTAAAAAACAAGAGAATCTTCCTAACAGCTTTTACTAATTTCTTACACTGTGAGACCAGGTAATCTGCTCTAACATTAATCTACCTGAACAAAAGATAAATAAATCAAGGAATGTGAAACTAACATAGTACAAACTGTACATGTGGTACAAACTGACCTTCCCTTTTGGCAACTACAGCCACAGCAAGGAACTCTGGTTAGCAATGAGATAGCTCTTTTTTCTCCCCCCCATCAACTCTTTTATTCAAACCAAAGGCACCAGCAAAGTGCCTCCCTTCTGTCATTTTACTTCTTCAGACAAAACATTAAACAGCAAAACTCATTCCTGCTTGCCTTTGCTAGTCTCTCTCCAAAAATTTCCAGGAATCAGGATTTTCTGTATGTACAAAAAATTTTTGGTTTTACCTTTCTTGCTTGGCTCCCTCCGTTTCTGCTTGAGACGCAGATTTATTCTTTTGTTGTTTTAGAACATTATGAACACGGACTTTGTAGCTCTCAAATTCAGAAGTAACAGCTGCTTGTTCTACCTATTACATGGAAAACACATTCTCAGTAAATTATGCTATTGACGAATGCCCATTTCTTTTCTCTAAAGTGAACTGCATCTTGCACAAAATACCCAAAAATGAAGTACCAGTTCTATTTCCTTCTTTTCAATGGAAAATTTAAATAACTATCATAACAGAACATGCTTCTTTAGTTTTTAATCAATGTAATAAAACCCACAAAATAAAACAGTGATATTATAACATACCAATTATCCAAAAATTATCTTGTAAATTCAAAAGTTAAATTCAACAGACGTTCACAACCAAAGGCCTCTTCTGTCACGAAGATGGCACTTGTAAAATAGTGATCTGTATCTTCCAGCATGATTCCTGCAAGTTTAAGTTTCCCACGGCAGCAACCATCAGAATTTGCCCATTTCACTTCACTTTCTTACAACTTCTAAATTTCTTGAGGTTGTGTTCAAATCTTGCTACTATTTACTACACTTTCATGCAATAGAGTGTAGTGTGGTGAAGTAAGCTACATAAATATGGTTTCACCAGAACACTAGTCCTACTATATCTTGAACCTGTGGGTTTTTAATGTAAAGACTAACTTCCAGGAATGTCTGGCATAGTGTCATACAAGGCCAAAAATATTTTAAAAAGTAACTTGGCATTTAGTGTTTTTTTCCATGTATAGCTCAGTTTCCAATTAAAAAACCTACTCTGCTCATAAAGCAGTGTATTAAAAGGTGCTTAAGAATTTGTTTTTTAAGTGATAGCTATGTTCCCTCTTCCTACATGAAGCAAATAGTATTCCATTGCAGAGTATTTTTGTCTGACTTTTTGGATACTTCTCTCCACAGTACAGGCTGGCTAATCATCTTAGACTCCCTTTTCTTCTTCACTCTACTACACGATTTTCAGTTCTAATGCAGGCAAAAAAAACACAACTGAAATATAAGACTGCAATCCAGGCATTCTCTAAAAGTGGTGCATGCCAACCAGGAGAGTGCCCATTTGTCCTTTGTACCTTCAAACACTGGGATATTCCCAATTTTTGACAGACAAGTAAGAAAGAATAAAAGACCTTCAAAATATTTTTAGAGAAGCGGACACCAAGTAAAGTACTTCTTCCTTACAAAGGGACTAACTATTTCTTCTGCTGCAGTACCTGGGCTGTTCTGCATTCTTCTTGCAGGGCTGCAATTTTTAGCTGGTAAGCAGTCAGTGCACGCTGGTGCTGCTCCGAAGAAGTTCGCAGATGTTCCTGGACTTTGTGCTTCTCTGACGCTAGCGTAGCCACTTGAATCTGAAAAATCAGTTTGAAATTTAAGCCTTTAGTATGCCAGAGACTTTCTTCCCCCTTCAAAGGGACATTTCGCAAGGCCCAGGTTCCTAGTATAGTAATTTCTGCACGAGTTTGTTCTTCAGGACACCTTACACAAGGTGTTGTTTAAAGAGACAACTGAAGAGGAAAATACTGCAGTAGGAGGAAGCATTTGTTAAGAAAATCATCCCCTCTTCCTTCTTCTCTCTGTTATCATTTTTTTAATTGAGCAACTTCCATATTTAAAGAAAATATTTTAAACTTATCCTGTTTACAAGCTTCACATTGATCAGACTTTTCAGGGAAAGCAAAAGAAAAGGAACAAGAAAGGGTAAGCAGCAGGCTGTCTCTGAAATCAATGAACACTCTCTACACTGAGTTTGAAAACACAAATTAACAACTTGGAACCTAATTCTCTTTTTATAAATTTTTAATATGCTGTTAATAAAAATTCCAAGGCCACATATTGAGTGAGAATAAAAAGAATATTGCGCTGTATGTGTGGATCTATGCAGCTGCATTGCACATACAATCTCACTTTTTTATTTCCAAATCTGGTAGAAATTCAAACATTCATACATTCATAACCTTAAAAAACAAACAAAAAAGCGCAGTTGGAAATAAGTTTGGAATAAGATAAACAAAGTTCTAGGCCACTTGTCTCCTCATATGAATATGACATCTTTGTGACCCTTCCTGCTTTCTCTTCCATTTCCACTGTTTTCTTTATTCTGCATTATCTAAATGCTCTCCTATATCCATTGGCAATTTAAAGTACATCACAGAGAAAATATTTGTGAGAAGCAGCAAAAAGACAAAATTAATTCAAGAAACAAAAGCAGTGTTCTGTTCTGTAGTAAAAATAGCATGCTTGCATTCTTAAGTAGATACTCCATCTGTCCAGTACAAATCACACACTTACTACTTACTACTTTACTAATAAAGAAATGAAGTTTCTTGCCTTATAGGCATCCACTTGTTGTTGACTGGCTTCTAGCTCCCCTTTCAATGATGCCTGCAGCATCAGGTGGTCATTTTCCTGCATGATAAAAGGAGCTAGTTAATTAAAAACAAAACAAAAAGCCCCCACAAATTTCAGCAACTTAGTCCAACTACAAGTCCATATTCTAAGAAGTTGGTTTAAAAAAAAAAAAAAAAAAAAAAAAAGAGTATATAGTCATTAACATCTGTACTTACAGCTTGTTTTGAATCAGCCAGTTCTTTTTTGGTTTTCACAAGCAGTTGTTTTATCTTGGCATTTCTTTCCTCATCCTGTTGCATAGACAACTGCAATGACTCTAAGGCAGAAAAAAACAATTATGTGCAAGGAAAACTTCCTCCCTGTATTTCCTTAAAGATACTGGAAAAAATATTTAAAGAAGTTCTGACATATTTCCTAAGAAAGCTGCAAACAACTAGCTCAAAATAAGTTCAGCATATGTACCACAGTTTTCTAAATAAAGTTGCTTTAAGACTTACATTTAAGGATAGAAAAAGTGGAGTTTTAAAACATTAACTAAAAAAGTTTTATCAGAGTGGTCTGTCAGACTGAAAGCCCCTGTTAATTACTCCATTTCCATAATTATGATTAAGTTAATCAGGTAAGAAATACAACTTAAAGTCCCCTGGCTTTTATTTCTGACAATTAGAATCAAAGGACTTACGACCTAGTAAAGGTTATTTTATTGAAAAGGATTTTTGAGTTTAAGTTTTAGTATTTCCTGTAAACGTCTCAGCCATTTACTTGAGAAAATGCTTCTGAATTGTATGCTACACCATTTCTGACTATACCATAGTGACTCCTGCTGTTTGTTTACTCACTTATCTCTTCTTGCAGAGTTTCTTGTTTCTGCTTCTGAATTCCATTTTCTTGCTCAAGATATTCTATTTTATTGTCTTTATCAGTAATCTTCTGATTAAGCTCTTTTACTAGCCTTTCATAATCAGCTATTTCCATATCCATCAGTGTACTCTTCTGAGCATCCTGCAAGTTATACACAGTGAAGTTCTAACTTAATTTGCCATGGATGCTGTGAAAGACTTAAAAAAAAATAAAAAATAAAAAAACACACATTTTTTCACGATAACAAAAAGTTTATAACCTAAACATCCACAAGCACAACTGGCCTACCAAGTTTTCACGCCTTTAATAAGTAATATTTTCAAGCAAGAATAAAAAACAGAGAAAGCAAACAACAAAACAACAATCTGTTAAAAGTTTTAGCAGCTTTGCCAGTAAAAATTTTGAAGGTGCTAGTCCCTATGATTCTCATTCACCAAAACAAAAATGCACCAGAGTTCTGGAGGGCACAGCAGAGATCAGAATTCTGTTCCCATTTCTACTTAGAGTATTTTGCATAAACTATTTTGCGTAAACTAAGCTAACAAACACACAAACACAGACAGCAGCTCTCAACACAAAACCAAAGCTTGTCTCTTCCTTTTTGCATACCTTGGGCACTAAGGTCCTCAGAACACAGAGCATTTTTCAAGGGCATTCATAATAGCAGTGTGTGCCAAAATCTTTGGTAGTCATTTAAGCACTAACATGAACAGCAACAATTACTCTACCTTTCTGGCCAGTTCTAATTCTTGCATGGTTTTCTGGAGATGCTTCTTTTCCTTCTGAAGTTGCATCTGAAGTTCCTCCAGTTCTCTGACAGCACCACTATGTTCCTGAAGTTTAAACACTTTTCAATTATACAGCCCAATTTCAAAATACTTGTCAGCACAGCACACAAATTCATGCACACATGCCCCACACACGCCACAAGCACAAAGAAGACATAAATCTTCAAGAAATGACAGTACACAAGCAACACCCCAAGAGATCAGGGAGTGTTTCACATTCTGTCATAACGTCCAACCTACTCTAAGTGATGGATTTGCAAAGTTGTTTCAATAAACAGACTGAGTATTCAAAAAAGGCTGAGTCAGGCAACAAGAGAAAGTGTGGAATTTGTATTTGATCAAAAAAAATAAATCCAGTAGCTTTTACAAAACTCTATCAAAAAAGTCACATTAAGTGAAAGCAATGCTTCACCCCATTTACCATCTGTACAAAGTTTTACCTTTGTTTTCTGTTCTTTTAGAAGCTTTTCAGCTTCCAGTTCCTTGTCAACTTTTGCTTTGGTTCTTTGCATCTCCAGTATTTGAGCTTCCAGCAGCTTAGCATTAGATTGCAGTGTTTCAACACGAGCCGAGAGGTCTTCATTAGCAGACTGTAGTTGATCGTGCTAGAATGATCGTTGTGGAGAGATTAAAAAAAAGCAAAAAGTTGCATTTTTATGTAACAAGATAATGCTCACATGTAAAAATCAAATGCTGATTTTCATCAATTTCCCCTACAAACAGTATTTCCACAGATACTCAACTATGACATTATAAGATCTTGTCCAGCTTTTGAAAAATGTTGAGGAAAAGGCTAAAATAAGTCACTAAAACAAGTTATTTTGTTCAGAGTATTTAAGTATTCTAAGTACCCCATGATTGGGCTACAATTAGAATGATTTTAATAGGTTTATTTTGACATGATCCTTATTTTAATCTCAGTCTCTACTGTTCAGATTAAGAAAGAGGAGCAAGTGAAGGAAGCTGTCAAACACCTAACAGCACTCTTGTTTACAAAACACTTTAACAACTATAAAAATTAAACTCCATCATAATCAGAATATATGCCACATTTTTTTTTCCTATGCTATTTACTACTAGCTTCCATTTATATGAACACAGTGGCCAACTTGCATCTCAAATGCAGTTCAGCAGTACAGCTCTATTCTTGGGAGTTTGAATCTCAAATCCCAAAACTATTTCAGTTAGGTAAAAAAATAAATAAAAGCATGTTTGCAAAACTTGTCTTACAGCTCCTTAATTAGCATCTTACCCTTTTAACTTCTCTTTGACTTCAGCTACAGTACTTCACAATGTGCCCCAGTCTTAATTCTTGCGAATGATGTAAAAATCTCACAATTTAGTATGTTTAAACTCTTTTGACTAAAAAACAAACACATTCTAACATGCACTGCCCCATCCTCGTCCCAAAAGAGAATAAATAAATAAATAACTTTAATGCTTCAAGATTACTCTACTCAGGGAGAAGAGGCGGAGAAAAGAAATTGGAGAAATACCAATGGAAGTTTGATGCTGATAAAATAACACACTTGTGTTGTGCACACTTGATACTATGGGAGGCATTAGGTATTAACAAAATTATCTTCAACTGAAGATAGTGTTCTTTTCTACAAATTGTCTTGAGGTAAATTAAACCCTTTTTGTTAAAGAGCCAAGTCATTCCGAGTTTTTTTTTTTTTTTTTGGCACAGCCTAGATAAACACCAGTATTTGGAGGAAAAAAAAAGAATTTCAAGTAACCACTCAAAATGGACTTAGGTTATGAAATACATAGAATGACAATCACAGGGAGAAACTTCAGTTTAAAAAAGAGAATAACTTTTACTGTAATCATGAATGGCTCAGATACACATACAGAACTAACCTGCTGGGATGACACCTGTAGCTGTCGTGTGAGGTCATCTATTTGACGTTCAAGATTATTTGCTCTGCCTTTCTCAGAATCCAGCTCTTCTCCTTGCTTATCGTATTCCATCAAAAGGTTCTTAGCACATACAGACATCAAAAAAGCTTTTAATTTTCACTATATGTATTTTGTTTGTCTTGAGTATTTTATGGAGATTTGAGTGCTTGAGTAACCTCAGGCACTTATTAAATATTACTTAACATTTTAGTAGTTCACCATCTGAGCTAACTTACTGCAACATCAGAAATAGAGTGAAATTAAAGCTATAGTTCCATTTTAGGTTCCAGCAGAAATTCTTTCAAGTCCACAAAAATCACTGTCAATTCAGGTTGAAAGAGATCTCAGGAGATCTCTGCTCCAGCCTCCTGCTTAAAAAGGGTCAGCTGTGAGTTCAGACCAGACAGCTTGGGATTTTTCCTCACCAAGTCTTAAAAACCTCCATGAAAGGAGGTGATGAAACCTGACAGGGTCAGCCTGTCCCAATGCTTCACTGTCCTCATGAAAAAAAGTTGCATCCTTATATCCAGCTGGAATCTCTCATTTCCATTTCCAACTGTCTCTCAGGGCTTCTGCATTTCCTTGCCAACTTCTTTGCACATATGGGAGGCTCTCATTAGGAGTCCCCTGAAACCTTCTCTGTTCCAGGCTGGGCAAACTCAGTTCCCTCAGCCTCACGCATTACTCCAGTCCCCTAACCATCTTTGTCACCCTCCACTAAACTCACTCCTAATTTTTGTATTAGGGCACCCAATACCCCGATGTAATATTCTAGATGCCATCTCACTAGTGCTGACCAAAGGCAGAAGATGACTTCCCTCAATCTACTAGTTGTTCTCTAATTCGTAGAGCCCAGGATGGCACCTTTTGTATCAAAGCACCCTCCTGCCTCACACTCCTCTTGCTGTCTACTAAGACTCTCAAATCCTTTCCAGGAGAGCTGCTCCCCAGCCAGCCCGAGCTGCATCACAGCAGAGGCTTCTTCCTTCCCACAGGTAGGACCTTGCATCCGTCTTTGCTCAACTTCCAAAGGCTTCCGTTGGCCCACTCCCTCGCCTACCTAGGCCCCTACAGCAGCCCTGCCCTCAAGTGCACTGACTGAAAAAGGACAGGTGCCCATACAGACCTCTGCAACACTCCACTTGTTCCTGGCCTCCAGGTGGCATGTAGCCTACTAACTACTACTGAGTTCAGCCATACAACCTTTTTATTTCCCCTCTTTTCTTCTAGTCCCACTTAAGATACACACCCATCTACACCGTAACATCCTAACTTGGATAGGAGACACTTATGAGAGACACCGTCGAAAGCCTTGCTAAAGTCAACATAAATGACACCCACTGTCATCTACTCTCATTTACAAATCCAATCATTTTATTGCAGCAGGTAACCAGGTTGGTCAAACATGATTTGTCTTTGGTAAATGCATGCTGACTGCTCCCTATCACCAGCCTCTCCTTCACATGCCCAGAAATGTGCTCGAATGGTCAGCTTGTTATCTTTAGCACTTAAGGACTACCTGATTCCCAGTTTTATGTAGCTTGAAAAATATTAAGTATAGATTTGCCTTGACAATCTGTTGTTTGATATACATGATACAACATCTAAAAGGAGAACACTGAATTCTTTTGCCAAATGTACTTCAGAAAAGTATTTTCTGACAGTTAACTCTCTTTTGCAGATATTATGCTAACCTTACCTTATAGCTTTCAGCTCCTTGAATAACATCTTTCATCGAAGCAGACAACTGATCTTTTTCTGATCGAACCAACTCCAATTCTTCCCTCAGAGTCTGCACCTGATGACAAAGAACTGTGTGTCATTAAAACAGAACCCCATGTGCAGTTCCTCACATTAAGAAAGCAGTCAGGGTACCTCTTTTCTGCTGGTATCTAACTCTTTCTTTGCTTTTACAGCCACAACCTTAATTTTACTAAGCTTCTCTGTTTTTTCAGCAGATTCTTTCTCCAGATTTCCTAAAGTAAATAAAAGAGAATAAATAATATCATTCCCCCACCCCAAGAAATGTAATGCAATTCAGTAACGACACAAATACCAGCATAATTTTGAAACAAAACAAAACATCCAGTACCACTGGGAGATATTCGTATCTTTCATCCATTTAAACACTTCATTTCAGTTTGAAGCAGGGAAAGCTTGTTCCTAGGCTGTCTGTGTGGAGAGATGTCAGATCTTCAAAAACTTCCATTACAGTTTTTGGTATAAACATATTATCATCTTCTGCATAAGATTGTAATAATTTAGAATCCTTCCCCCCCCCCCAATGTTTTGAAATAACTGCAATGAAGCAGCAGTACTTTGGGGAAAAGTATTTTTTCTTCTTCTTAGCAGCCTTAAAGACTCCCAATGACACAATTATTTTCATATTAAAAAAATCCACTACAATATTTATAGACAATGTAGACAGCAAATGAAAATTTAAGAAATATCAAGCCATAACAGATTTCAATTGCTAACATTATTTTGAATCCCTAATGGAAGGAATATTGTTTTGATGGAAGGGATTTTGTTTGCATATCTAATTTCCAACTTCCCTCAGCTTCTAGGAAACATAGGGTAATCACACAGAGAAAAAAAAATCCCAAAAGTCTAACAATCCAAAAAAAGAAAAATTGATTACATAATCACAACAGGGAGAAAGATACCAATTTTTTCCTGCAGCTCTGCTACTGAAGATGGTTGATCATTTTTTCCAGTCAATGTTCCCATTAAATCCTGTATTATAAGCAAACATACAAGAAGTATTACAAACATTTCTTTGTTTTAACTGTTTTTCCTCAACAAAGCAATAAAAATTCCAGCTATGGCTGAATACTGTCTACCTTCTCAACACCAAGAAAGTATTTACAATTCATATTAGCTTGGTAACTGAAAATCATACTTATGTTGAAAGAAAAACATTCCAACCTTTTAACAGATGCTTTTCATCCTGTTAGAAAACAAAAAATGGGAGACTTAATTCAGCTATAAATTCTATGTAAGCATCAAGCCCATGGAACTGAATTTAACAGTAGCTTTGTGGTTCAAGCAGCAGTCTTGTTTGAGACAGTCATAGAAAGTTAGAGAAGTCATAAAAAGTTTGAATGAAAGACGTAGGTCAGCACACCTACTTAAGTGATAACTTTAGAGGGTACTGGTAGAAAGAGAAAAGACTGAGTACAAGCAGCTTTGGGTAAAATAGCATTTTTTTTCCCCCTCAGCAGAAGAAAGGAGAATCTGATATATTAGGATACTAAGAAATGTGTGCTTTTTAAAAGCAAAACTCACTCTGAACCAAAGGAGAAGGAAAATAAAGAAAAAAAGAAAGAAGGAAAGTAATTTTTGAACCTTAATTCTGAAGACTTTAGAGGTTTAGTCTGTATACTTCAATAACAAAATATAACCTTTAGAGAACTCAGTTCGTCTTTCACATTTCTAAGTTCAGTTTCCTTTTGTTCCAGAATGAAGTTTAGGTCTTCTTGTTTTTCTGTGGCAGATCCTTTTTGCTGTTCTTGTATTTGATTTTCATAAAAAGCAAGTTTTTGAGAAATCTCTTCAACGTGAGCCAAAAGATCTTGATTTTCAATCCTTGTTTTTTCACTGGCATTCTTCAGTTCCTGGATATCAAGTTGCAGTGCTTCTTTTTCAGACAATGCTCCTTCCAATTCTTCTCTTAAAAAAGTCTTTTCTTTTTCAAAGTCCTCAAGCAGAGACGTACGTTCTGTATCTTGAGCTATGATTTCTTGCTCCAATCTCTCAACTTCTTGCTGGAGATGAAGAGCTTTCTCCTCGTTCTCTAGAGTAAGGCATTGTCCTTCTTTCATTTTTGCCAAGCATTCATTTGCAGTGTTTAGTAAGCTGAGAGAATCATGTTCCTCCTCAGAATATGAAACTTTGGATCCCATTTGCTCAATTAAGCAGTATAGCTGAGTTCTAACAAGAGATCTGTGTGCTTGCTCACTTTCAAGTAAGGTTGATAAATGGTCTTTTTCTCCATTTATCATTTGTAGTTTCTTTTCTAAGTTTTCCAATTGCTCTTTCAACACTGACCAAGTCTCTTTTTCAGATGCAATCTTTTCCAGCTCTTCACTTAATCTAACCTTTTCCTGAATTATTTTCTTATTTTCCTCACGCAGAATATCTGCTTCAGATGAAAGGTGCTCTCTATCACACATCAGAGATTCAATTTGGCTTTCCAGTTGCTCTATGATTTGTGCATTTTCCTTCATCATGCTTAAAGTTTCATTCAGTCTCTCTCTTAATTCATTTACCTTTATTTCCAGGTCATTATTGTACTGGTTAACAGCATCTACTTGTTGCTGAAGTTCCTGAACTTTTTCTTGCTCCTGTTTGCATCTTTCCTGAAAAGTATCTCTCTCTCTATCTGAGCTTTTAACTTCATTTAAAATACCCCGGTTCTGATCAGCAAGAACAACGATCTTTTCTTCCAGTTCTTTTATGGCCATCTCTTTTTCATGCACACAGCTTGTTATTGCTTCATTCTCCTCCTCAAGAGCAACAATTTTATATTTGAGTTCTTCTACCTCAAGCTGATTAGATGACATCTTTTCTGTTTCCTCCCGGAGACGATTTACAGTTTCAAGAAGAACATCCTTTTCATTGAAAGCAGCCCGAAGTTTCTGCTGAAGTTCACTAACATCAGAAGCTTGCTGTTGTCTCAATGATTCAAACTCCTGGCTGATCTTTCCAGCAGACTCCCCTAGCTCAGTTTGTAGAGTCTCCATTGTATCTCTCAGGCTGTCATAATTGGACACTGCTTCTTCTTTCTCCTGAGTGAGCTTTTCAAGTTGTTCCCTAAGTTCCTGCATTTCAAAGACTAATGCCATATTTTCTTTTTCAGCACTGGATAACAAAGTTGTATTTAGTTTAGAAATTTCTCTCTCATGCTGCTCTTTCAGAGCTTGAGTTTCTAATTTATGCTCTTTTGCAGTGATTTCACAGTGGTGTCTTGCTGCTTGAAGCTCTGATTTTAGTTTTTCAATTGCACAACAGTAATCTTCTTTAGTGAGCTGCAATTCATTTATTTTAAAATCCAAGTCTTCCCGCTCATGAAAATATTCATCCTTTATGCGATGGATTTCTTCTTCCAGTTTTAGTTTAACATTATTCATATAGGTTAGCTCATCTTTTAATATACTCTGTTGAGACTGGAGCTCTTCTAAACTATGCTCTAGGTATCTAACCTTTTCCTTCAATTCTGCTTCTGCAGAAGACTCTTCTTGAGCATCTACAGCATCTATCCATTTTTCTCTATTTTCATGTAGGACTTCTCTTAACTGCTGCAAGTCACACTCACGCTGGTCAGTAGCAGCATCCTTCACATTTTCCTCTTTTATTATACTCTGCTCTGCCAAATTCCTCTGCAATTCATTTATCTGGTTCTGCTTTTCTTCATTTTCTCTAGAAGACATTTCAATTTGATGCATCAACCCTGAAACCTCTTCCTGATGGGCACTCTTTATTTTTTTAAGCTCTTCATGTAAGTTATTAATTTCATTATGGTAACACTGAGAATTGCTTTTAATAGTTTCTTGCAGATTTGCCAATTCTTTGTTTTTGTCATCATTCACAGTTTCCAATTGCTTGTTTAGACACAAAATTTGCTCTTCATAAGCACATTTAATTCTCTGAACATCGTCCAGTAGTTTTTTAACTTCTTCTTGACTATTACTATTACACTCAATTTGTTCCATAAGTCCCATTTGTTTCTTCTCTTGTTCCTCCAATTCTTTCTTCAGCTTTGTTACATCCTCGCTGTATTTGGACTGTGCATTTACTAATTCATTCTTCAGAGCTTTAATTTCTTTCACAGAGTCAATACTGGACTCCTCCAGTTGCTTCTGCAATTCTTCTGTCTTAGCCACTGCAGCCTAAAGAAACACACAAGTTATTAAATACAGGTAGCATAGTAAGTAGAATTTCCAAATAAATTGTTTAAACTAATGAGTTTTTGGAGTTTAGTTTTAGAAATATTCAGTTTTTAAACTGTGTTTTGACAGCTCGGTTGAGAAAAGACTCTGCAGCAAGTACAGCAACAGTGTAAAATGAGATAGAACTATGACATATTAAGTCATGTTTACTAGCACTTTTATGAAAGGGTCACAAAAATCTCAGCTCTAATAAAAGTAAATTGATCTTCAATACATAATCAGAATAGTTGCTAACTTTATCACCTCAAATCCAAATATCTGGAACACTACATTCCACATAATTGACACTGTATTCTACAGTCTATTATCAATTGAGATTACTGAGATTTAGGCATCTTGGTTTACAGGCTCCTCCCTACAGATATCAGAGTGTAAAACTATGTTTTCCATGGAGGGGCATACTTGACTGATTAGGCAAGACATCACATATGTAGGCTACTAATGCTCAGATTGAATCCTAGAATGGTTGAGGTTGGAAGGCACCTCTGGAGATCATCTAGTCCCACCCCGCCCCGGTAGGGACACCTAGAGCATGTGGCACAGGATTGTGTCCAGGCAGCTTTTGAAGATCTCCGAAGGAGGAGACTCCACAGCCTCTCTGGGCAGCCTGCGCCAGGGCTCTGTCACCTTCACAGGCAAGAACTTCTCCCTAAAAAATTTAGGCAGAACAACCTGTGCTTCAGTTTGTGGCTCTTGCCTCTTGTGCTGTCAACTGGCCACCACTGAAAAGAGTCTGGCCCCATCCTCTTGACACACTCCCTTAAGGTATTTGTACTCACTGATAAGATCCCTCTCAGCCTTCTCTTCTCTGGGCTGAACAGACCCAGCTCTCAGCCTCTCCTCATGAGAGAGATCCTCCAGTCCCTTGATCATCTTTGTAGCCCTTCGCTGGACTCTCTCCCATAGCTTCATGTCACTCTTGTACTGGTGAACCCAGAACTGGACCCAGAACTCCAGGTGCTGCCTCACCAAGGCCAAGTAGAGGGGGAGAATCAATCACCTTCCCCAACCTACTGCTGGCAACACTCCTCCCAATGCACCCCAGGTACCTTGGGCCCTCTTGGCCACACGGGTAAGAATCTTTTTGAGTTTCTGTAGATCTAACCAATGAATACATTTATCACCAGTCCTATAAACACTACTATAAACCCTATAAATTACAGCCTACAGATGAAATATGCATTAACACATGAACCCTTTCAATTTTTTATAGGGTACAACAGAGCTTAACAGATGAAGAAAAAGACAAAAAAGTGAAATATATGACAGAATTAGAAAATTAAGTTAAATATATGTTTGAAATATTTTTAGTAATGTTTTATTACTCATTTTAGTACCTCTGCTTCTTGCTTTCTTTGATTATTTTCTTTTTTCAGAGCTACACACTGCTGCTGACTTTCAGCTTTTTCGAGAAGGACAACATCCAGTCTTTCAGTGAGAGCCTATGTTTAAGAGAGAAATAACATAAGAAGGAGGGTTACTTAAAATGAAAGTCCCAGTAATTTTGGGGAGCAGTAAGAGCAGTAAGAACTCAGATTTTTTTTTCTTTTTGATTAAACACCTGATCTAAAAAGCTACTTTCAGCTCAAATACCATAGATAGTGAATGATTTAGTAGTAAATTCTCTTCAAAATCCCTTTTCTAATCAGATTATCTCTCCCTGACAAGGTGGGAAGAAGGCAAAAGAAGCTTTCCTTCTTCAGAAGGCAAATAAAATCTCCACTAAAACTACTGCAAAGAATTTTCCAGTTGACAATTCCCCCCATCAGACACACAATTTTTACTGCTGTGCTTTATATAGCTTTTACATTTAGACAGACAGGTGTTCTTCCCACTAAAACAAAATTTTTAAAAATTCAGTTACATTCCAGAAGGTATTTCTTGAGATAAGTGCTTTAATTCTGTGAGTTTCTGAACTTGTCAAATAACTCTCTCAGAAGACTCCTCAATGGCTAAAGTCTTTCCTCACCACAGTGGTCAATCCAAGGGCAAGAAAAACCTTCCCTAACGTGGGACAAACTCTTGCCAGAGAGACTATGCTATTCTATACAAGCAATTTCTCACAGAACTAACATTGTTTTCTGAAAAGTAAAGCAGGGAGGTAGGAGATTAAGAGAGGAAGAAAAGAGGAGGTTTTGGAAAGTATCTTGAATTTCTGAAACTGATCTCAGTCAATTTGAATAACACTTTTACAGCTATTTTTGTTAGCTTATTTCAGTAACAATATACAGTGCATCAGAAATGCATTTCATATTCCTACCTGAATAATATCATCAGCTCCTCCAGTAGTTGCTTTAGATCTGAGTTCTTCGATTTCTTTCTCCAGTTCTTAAAAAGAAATTGAGTAGAAATTTCACAGCAAACATTAATTGATGCTCTATAACAGCATTATATTTATAAATCCACAACACCACTCCTGTCCAAATCTAACGTATCTTTTTTTATTACAGACTTTGATTTGTTACTGAGTATTGGGGAAAGCGGGGAGAAAAAGAAGGAGGCGGGGGAGAAGGAAGAGGAAAACAAACATTCAGTACTCCTTTCCTGGTCCTGACATAACCCAATTAAGTCAAAGAAAACATATTCAGTTCCTTTAGGTACTCTAAAGATAGGCTGCACACAGAAGAGCAAGATCTAACTAATGACCCCACTTAAAGAACCTTGTTAGTCCATCCCTATAGTTATTCTTCTGGCTAGGCAGTTATCACCAGCCAGAAGTGGCAGAGGAAGGGGGCACAAGAGGAAAAGGGGCAACAGAGAATAGGGGAACAGAGCATGAGAGCACAGACATACCGTGGATGCTAAGTATAAAGTGCACATATAAGAGTGTAAGAAGCGACATTCACTAGTTCTGCTGGTCACAGAATACATTACTGCAACTATGCAATCTTTCTGTGGTTAACATATAACTCCATTTAGCGTTTTTCACAATTTCTCATTAAAGCAGCAAATCAAATATAAAGCAGAGCGCCTTTTAAAGATGCTATAATGTTCTGCAATAAGATTAATTATGCACAATCAATTACATAAAATGTATTACAGAATTTGCCTCTCCTATCTGCTTCCTGAAAAGCCTTATCACTACGACAGTTATAGGGAATACATAATGGCAGGTCCCACTTCAACTAGCACAGGCTACACTGTTTCATCACACCACACACCCTGGTGAGTCAAACTTTATGCCTGACATAAGCAGCATTTCTTTTATTTTGTTCACTGCCTTTGCCTAAGAACTTCAGTCTTTATCTTCCCACAAAAAGAGCAAAATCGGGGGGAATAATAATAATAAAAAAAAAAAAAAAAAAGTCTAGGAAATCTGCCTAGTATTACATAGAATGACAAAATGGTTGAGGTTGGAAGGGAGGAAGGGACCTCTAGAGATCATCTAGTCCAAACCCCCTGACTCAGGCAGGAACACCTACAGCACATGGCACAGGATGGCATCCAGGTGGGTTTGGAAATCTCCAGAGAAGGAGACTCCACAACCTCTCCGGGCAGCCTGTTCCAGGGCTCTGTCACCCTCACAGGAAAGAAGTTCTTCCTCATATGCAGATGGAACTTCCTGTGTTTTAATTTGTACCTATTACCCCTTGTTCTGTCACCGGCCACCACTGAGAAGAATTTGGCCCCATCTTCCCTACATTCTCCCCTCAGGTGGTTATACATATTGATCAGATCTCCTCTCTATCTTCTCTTCTCCAGACTAAACAGGCCCAGCTCGCTCAGTCTTTCCTCATACCATATATGCTCCAGTCCCTTAATCATCTTCACAGCTCTATGCTGGACCCCTTCTAGAAGCTCCACATCCCTCTTGTACTGGGGAGCCCAAAACTGCACCCAGTACTCCAGGTGTGGCCTCACCACAGCCGAGCAAAGGGGCTGGATTCCCTCCCTCAACCTGCTGGCAACGCTCCTCCTGATGCAGCCAGGATCCCATTGGCCTTCTTGGCCACAAAGGCACATTGCTGACTCATGGTTAACTTGTTCTTAACCAAGACTCTCCAAATACCTCTCTCCGTGGAGCTGCTTTCCAGCAGGTCACCCCCTAATCTGTCCTGATGTCTGGGGTTATTCCTCCCCAGGTGCAGGATCCTGCACTTGTCCCTGTTGAACCTCACAAGGTTCCTCTCTGCCCAAGTCTCCAACCTGCGCGGGTCCCTCTAAATGGCGGCACAGCCCTCTGGAGCACTGGCCACTCCACTCAGTTTGGTATCTCCCACAAACTTGCTGAGGGTGCACTCTGTCCCCTCACCAAAGTCACTGATAACAAGTCAATCAGTATCAAGCATTAAAGTAGCAATTATTCCTTCAGTAAGGTACCTGTACACCTTGACTTCACTTTCTGTATAAGCATCATTTGCTTTTTGGCAAACTTGATGAGATCTTCTTTGGGCAGCGTGTCCAGCTGTAAGAAGGTGCATTATTATAAACCCAGCTTCCTCCAATAGAGAGGTAAACAGCAAAAAAGTATTTTAGCTTCCGATTTTCATGATGTTAAGATTTAGGACAAGAAACTTATTATGTAGCTGCACAGATGTAACAGTACAATAACAGAAACTACTGTTAAGTCAGTACTTTTCCAAGCTTATTCTAGAAGATTTAATTGGATAAGCATCTGTTAGAAATGAAAACTTAGTTGTGCAGGACTCCAATGCAATAGGTAGACTGAGAGATACCAGAAAAAAATATGAAGCCCGTAAGTACCGCCACCGTCCCCTCAAAAACAGCTGGGTCTTCAGAATGATATAACTTGAACCATGTTTTGGATACAGCACGCTGACCTAACATTACTGTTTTTTAATTTACTGGAAGGAAATTAGGCCAGGCCAAGGAAATTTAGGCCAGGAAGCGTGAGTTCATAAGAAAACATACTATTTCCATAACCAACTGCTAAAAATATCTGATCAAATATTATCACAGGAAATGAATGCACTGAAATGAAATTTTGTTCCATAATTTCCAAAATAAGCTTTCCTGAGTCTAGCATTTATAAAATCCAATCTTCAAGAGGCAAAACTGAATCTTTACAGAGAATCTTTTGGTTACAAAGGAAGAATCTTTACAGCTACTAGGAAGCTGTAATCCTCTAAACCTCCGCTATCCAAATAGAATTTGTGAATTGAGATTACCTTTGATTTGCCTGTTCCTGGTGTGACAGGAGAAGCCACCATCTCTTGCCCAGCATCTTGTACCTACAATGAAATAAAGCCCTGTATGCAAAAACTGAACTTTTTTATGCTGAAGAAAGTAACTGAAAGTCTGCACATACTGAAACTAAGCAACGGTAGTGGAAGCTCAAGAAAGCAAAACCATTTGCAGCAGTAGTCAGAAGGATAATGGTGGTGTTTTCCTTGAAGATTAATTGCAGTCAGCCAAATACAAAAGCAGAATAGAAAAGAATCTGATTTTTAAATCAGTATAGCACTACAAAGGCACTACTTAATCTCTATTCAGAGTTAATATACTACAAAAAAAACATTTTATTTACAACTAATTATGAAAATGTGACTCAAGAGCTTATTATTAAAAGACCTGTTCAAGAAAAGGCAGGTGTGACAATGAAGGTCAGTTTAATCAGACCTAGGAATTTTTTTTAAAGGAAATATAATACTGAACACTTAAAAGAAAAAAAAAAAACAATTAACACTACAAGCATATGGTAGTGATGGCCTTGAAAATGTATTTGAACAGATTCTGCAAAGCCTGGCCTCTCTACTCCAACTCTTTTTACTGCAAGCCTCCTCAGATCTATTCTGGGAGACTCTACATTACTTCAGAGTGGGTACGTGTAAGATATGCTTACATATACCTGGAAACATAAGGAAAAAAAATATAACTAAGACACAATAATCAAAATGGGCCAGACACTTCCAAAATATTACAGGTAGCATTTTCAAGATTTGACCTTCACCTTGCCTTTTCTTTTATACTATCAGACTAGGTACTATGCCTTCAATTTCATTTTGATACTGTCTCTATTCAGATAAACAAAAACTTGCAATAGAAACTCAAGAAAAAAAAATGAATCCAATCATTACTGGTAGAGATACACACTAATTAACGACTTAAGAGAACAGCTCAGAGAGATACTAAGAAAGGCCAAATATGAGTTCAAGTACAGACCAAGGACACAGCTACAGTATTTCTCTGTACTACATGGGTTAGAGTCCTTGAGAAGACAAGGGAAAGTTTATGAGAGGACAGTATGCTTGTCAAAGACACAGAAAGAATTATCATGTTATTAAAGAATAACACTGTAAGCAAGTTTTTAAGATTCAGGTTTTCTTAGACACTGACCTTCAACATTTAAATTCTTAGTATTTGAGCAGCACTGCTAGTAAAATAACGCCACTACAAACAGTATGCTTACTAGGGTGCAACAAATAAAAAATCTTTAAAAATAATGATAACAGTATCTCTTGATGTTAGAATAAAGTCAGATAAATCTGCATGTTGCTTTTGCTCTTCTTTACACTAATGTACATAAAGGCAGAACTTATCATGCAAGAGGGTACATTCAGTTCTGCTGCTCTGAAAAAGATAACATAAGCAGCTCATGTAGAGAGCTTTACTTGTCTTAGTTAAAAGAATGCTGAGGAAGATGGTAATTAAAAAAAAAAAAGCTTAAATTTGATTAAGGATTAGGTGTATCTGAGCCATGAGCCAACAGACATAATATTCTTAAGCACAATGCTAAAGATAACCCTGTACGGATTCTCAAGTTCCTACTCCTTCATTCTGAAGGCAGCTTATGCTTCCATGCTTTACTAATAAGTTGTTCTTTATTTAATTTAAGGCCCACCTCACCTACTAAGGGGTTTCCAAAGCACAGTATACCATGCTTTGTGGGTTTTTATTGTTGTTTTTTTGTTCTCCACTTCTTACTTTTTCAAGCACTAAACACACATTTGGAGAAACAAGCCACAGTAGGAACACTATATAACTGATATTTGACATTGCTGCAACAGCAATGACCAAGATGAAGAGCGAATTTCTGAGCAGCATGTGAGCTTTAGATGCCACCCAATATAAGCACACCAGATCACATTAAAACAATCTGAATTCAGACTGCTTTAGGAGACAGGGGCACAATTAGAAAGTGCCCAGCTCAGCAACTACTGGGAGCTAGTCAAGTGTATGAAATTTAGAAGATTGCCTTCGGACTCCTCTTGGCAGTTATGCGAGACACACTAGAGACGTGTATTTCAGTGACTTTATTTGCCTGTGTCGGCAGCGTTTCCTAGCCAAAGCCTGTTCCCTCGAGCTATTTTACAGCAGGAGGTGTAACCGGCGCGACACGCGCCACCTCTCGCACGGGTTCTCCCCCCACACACCTCCAG